TTATAAGCCAAACTGACTCTTTCTAGTTCAAGCACATGTGGTCTATTGCAATGTATTTGTTGATAAAATACAATTTCAGTATCAGCAGATTTTGAAGATGTATTTCAAAATCTCTGTCTCTAAATTGTCTGCTACTATAAAGCAGGTTAAATAAACAAACTCCTAAGTTTTTGACTACATGCTGCTGTATGCATCTGGCAAACGCAGGGCTGAACAACTCTCCACTCTAAGCAGCGCTGAGTTGTGTGGGTATATCATACCTTGCTCTCGGGTGGTTCCAATGAATCTTGAAAACATAATTTTAAATTTTATCACAATTTTTTTTCAGATAATTCCCCCAAAGGAGTTATATTAAGTATATTTAAAAATTTTTTTAGTAAATGTATGATGTAATTGTCATAACATCAGCAAGGTATTCATTAATAATAAAAATGTTTACATTTAAACAAAACCAGTTTGAAATGCAATGTTTTTAGGCTTTATAAAAAATAATGTAGGGGGGTTTAAAAAGATTAATATGTTCTTACTGTACCTTATATTTTTCAAGTCACAAAACTTCAAACATTTTAATCTTTAATGTTCTGAATATTAAGGTTACTTAGAGGACCTAGGTGAAGGTTTTATGAAAACAGTATTTTTTTTAAAAAGATAGCTTTACAAATAAAGGAAAATTTCAAAGAATAACTACTGATTGGATTTCTTAAAAGGAGAAATGTTTACCTTACTCACGGAAACCCGTGAGTTTAAGCATTAGAAGTACCACTTGAGCAGTAGTTTACATTTAAGCAATGCATATTTTCCAAAAAAAAAAAAATAATAATCCTGAAGACTTGTTTAAACACACAAATTCTAGCACTTAATTTTCAGCCTATCCTTCAGCACATGCCTATGCTATTACTGCATGCACTTGCAAGAAATAAAGTCCGCATTTTTTTTCAACTGTTATCAAATTAAGATTTTTTGCTAGGAATGTAACTCAGTAATGTCTCATAATTATTCGAAAAAAGAAAGGCTAGTGGAATAACAACCCATTCAATGTCAATCATATATCAATATTTTTCACTAAAATTGAGAAAGTAAATTTATTCAAAGGAAAAAAATTGACCTTCATATCTTCCCCACTAAAGAAAAACATCAGATCCAGTGGTTCCTCCTTTGGCCTTTGAATGAATCATGAAACACTGTTGCTTGCCACAACTAAAGAAGACCGAATATAAATTTAAGAGCTGAGATACCTCTTGGATTCCCTCACTTTGGATTCATTTACTGCTACTTACAAATCAGTTAGCAAGAGTGGCAAACAAAGATGAGATAGTGGAAAGGTGGTTTGAAGAAAAAGATCAGACTAATTTTGCTGTTTTCGTGTTTGAATTTTCCATTCCTTGTTAAAAGCAAAGCAAAACAAACAAAGGGCTTTGGGAAACTTGACAGTCAAATCAAATTATCTATTTGTTTCACTGGAAAAGCCCATGAAGTCTTCACAAAACCCATCCTGAGTTTCTCGTAGTTCACAACCACACGCTCCAAATTACAACAGGACAACTAATAAGTTTGATTGCTGTGTAAAGAATTATGAATTTTTTGGTAATTTGAATAACTGGTTGACAAACAGGGAAATAAGCACATAAAGGGGACAGAAGAGATTTTTAATGAACTCTCAGAATACAGGAAATATGTCATTTCTTTATTATAGTGCTCACTGCAATTCAATGTCAATGTAACATCCTCTTCTAACTTCATCTCCATTAACAATTTGGGGTTGACTCACCTCTCCTGTGTTCTGTCTTAATGCCTCAGACTTAGCTAAATAGACTCAGCTCTGGTGAAACATCGCTCACCCTTTTTTAATTGACAAGCCAAAAAAAAAAATAGCTGTATTATTATCACTCTTTTGGTAGGGAAGAGAGCCTGACCTTTTTCCTCCCCAAATGAGACACGATATGAGCAAAACAAAGATCACAAAACTCCTGAAAAAGTTGTGTCAATATGTTTATGAACTACTGGTATTGACCTAGCTGTATACAGATTCAATAGAGAGCAAAATTAGGAATAAATTTTTGTAAGGGCAGTCAGTTCATTTGCACAGCTCCCAGTGAGTGCACAGAGCTTGATTTCACAGTGTACACACCATCTCATTTACCCTTCATGGTAACGCTGCAAAAGAGGAATTACCAACCCTACCTACATTTGGAAAACTCATTTGAGAAGTTAAGAATTTTTTCTCTGTCACTAAGATAGTAAATGACTAAGCTAGAATTTTAGCCCATGTCACTCCAAAGCCTATACTGATGTTCTTTTCTTTATTTCACACCGCAGTACCACGTTAACTACAAACCAAGTAGACCTACATCTCACTGATAATGACGATGCATCTATAGCCACTTATGTAGTATTTCAGCGTGAGGGGAAGAGGAGACGAGGGAGAGGAGAAACACAACTAGTTTTGATCTTGATATGACATGGGACTCATTTTTTAATTATCTTCTTATTATGGTGTATTCAGTTCCTTTGGGTTCTGTTAGAAAATAATTAACTGTTTCATATTTTATTGTCTCAATCAATGTTCAGTACTTCTAAAGGAAAAATGTACTCAGGTTTACAAAGCACTTGTACACTAAAAAGCAAACTATTTCAATAACTAACTTGTATAGTTGTCTGAATATGATACATGAGGAAATAAATTTACATTTATATGAATCAATGGATTGGGTATCATTCCATGAGAAAAAAAAGAAAATCAGATTTGGGACCTTTTCTCTAAATATTAATATTCATGGTTTAAATGCTAACTTACCTGTCTTTTAATTGCTGTATCAAAAATTTTATTTTTTCTGAACTTCAGAGTCCTTATTTTGTGTAAATAAAATTTAAAACAGCATTTAATTATTATAAAAAAGAACATAAGCATGGATTATTTAGTATAATATTTAACATCTTTCTTCCACATTGAATGTTTTTCGACTGTTTAGAAAAATTCTTTTTTTCACAAAAAATTATAGCCATTGACCTTTTAAAAAGCATTTTACATAAAAATAGGATATTTTTGTATAAATTCTCAGATATTTGTCCAATGCCCAAGCATTATGAACATTTTAAACCTAAATATATCCAAAATTACAGGGGATCTTTTAATGGCAGTACAAATGTTTTAAATATTTTGATTTTCATATAAATTAAAAATGAATCACTGAATGTGCTCCATTGTTAATAATATGAATGAAAAGAAACACTTTTACACATACATTATAACATAGTATGAGAGCACATGAATTTTCTTTTCCAAATTAACATTTTGCAAAGTTATAATTAATTTCAAAATTCCTAACTGAAAATTATATTTTAAAAAATTGTCAGCCCTTATTTTTACAATAGTTGAAGTGACTTAAAATTTTGTTTTTAATCCAGTGACTATAGCTCAATATCCTAAAAACTTAAAAAGTAAGAGAACTACAAATGCATATGACTTATAATTTAAACTATCTTCTAGCTTTATCATGTCTATTTCTATTAGGAACATAAATATATGGTTTTAAACATTTGTAATTTAAGAGTTTCTATTGTTCACAAACTTTATTTTTTAATGTAATACACTTTCAAATATATCAAAATTTCAAGGTTCTTGTAGCACATAAATGCTTTTTGGTTCATTGCCTCACATTATTTCTGGAATAAACACTCCTCTCCCCTGACACATACATACACTTTGCAAACTGCTGGGAAGCAGAGATTTTCTTAGTCATGTTTCTAATTTGTGAAGCAATTAATAAACTTCTATCATTTAGTAGTTTCAATAAAATGCTTTCAATAACCAGGCATTGCTTTGAATTAAAAATATATTGATATGGGATGAGTGTAAAATCTATACAGAATGCCAATTAAAAGTCCTCCTTATGCATTAATAAATATTCAAATATAAATATTTTCATCAGAAATAATACTCTTCTTTATAATTATATATGTAAATGAGATGCATTAAATGAAATTTTTGTTATGCATGGCTGGGTCAAGCAAAGAGAATAATATTTATACATCTTAGAAACTAAAGCAAATATATGTAATGTAACAATTTGATGTAACATAATACACAAACTTGCATTTTATGGTATATATATTTTGTACACATCTATTATTTGCATTGTCATATAATGTATAAAATTACACTAAAATCTTTTCAGGTAGTCAGAGAAGCTGATAAATAAGTAATGAAGAATAAAAAATTGCTGTGCAGTGTACTTGGAGAAAATGACATCTGCAATCAAAATTATTTTTCAATTAACGTAAACAGAGATTAAAATTTAGATTAATACAATTCATTCCATGTTTTACAGAAAATATTGATGAAGCAGAACGAGAATGGAAAGCAGGATTCTATCGGTGGAACAATTACATGATGGACTGGAAAAATCAATTTAACGATTACACTAGCAAGAAAGAAAGCTGCGCAGGTCTCTAATTAATAGATTTACCCTTTCTAGAACGTTCATTCCCCTGTAGATTAAGGCAAAAATTTCAGGGACTCTCTTACACTCCTCGTAAGAAAGCTATTATGTGGCTGAAACGAAAATGCCAGAAGGATAATATTGATTCCTCAGATCTTTCACTTAGTACTGTACCTAGCATTTCACAACTCAAGTGGCTAGAACAAGTTTAATTAAATTTCACATTATAAAGTTCAAGAATTAATTATATGGATATTAAAACAACTTGCAGCTTCAAACTCTCTTTCCCGAATAACTTTAAAAATTCTTTTCCCTTAAAAAGTATATTCTGTTTTCAGTCTCAAGTTTATTTTCATAACCACTCATAAAAGGCATCTTTTTAAAATGGATAAGGTCTTGAAACATTAGAGGCTGTAATTAATACTATTTTCTTTAATTAATTTATGCATTTAATGTCAATATGATACATTAACACAAACAGAAAATACTTGGTCCCTTTGGTTTTTTTACGTAAAGGCAGGAGAGAATCTTAAAATAAGAGGCCCGGTCACTTGGAAACACCTTAAGATAGAAACCAAATGCCACTACCAAGAGACAAAATGTAAAAGAATATAAATAGTTATGTTCTGTATTTTTTAAATTACGTATGCTTAGAGTCCTCAAATTATATTCCTCATTCTTCAACTCTTTTCTTCCTCACTAGCTCTCTCCAAACATGTTCATATGTAAATTATTCTTCTTGTAACTAAAACATTTTTTTAAAATGTGGATGAGCAGAAGTCTACATTGAACAATTTCAGAAATCATGTACCATCTGGAATAAGGGAACCCTTGGCTGGACCTAGAAATGTTAGGATTTTACTAGAGAAATTGTTCAATTAGAGGGTAAAAAAAAGGTTTTACTTTCTGCGGACAAATGATATTGTTTTAATAATTTAAAAAGTTAGAAAGTTGCACTTACTACCTTGCATGGCAAGGGAACACACCCAGTGAATAAATCACTAAGTCATTCACTAAACAGGAGAAACCAGGGAATTTCAAGTTCTAGGAAAGGGCAGTATTTGCTGACTCTGCTAATGAAGACTAGCAGTTAGGACCAGATAAAGTGAGCCTACAGGTCTGTAAAATGTTGGTTAAACCAAATCTCATTGTTCATTGGTCATAATGTCTCTAGCTAGATCCAATATGAGTCTGCCATCCTCACTCAAACTGTCACTCAAAGATGGTCATATGATGATCAAATGGTCATCTAATCAAATATTAAAAAGCAATGTAAGAGATAAAATGTACTTTATAAATAGAATATGTCTTTATTAAATATAGACAGATAATTTTAATTCCGATGTAAACCTCTAACATACAATACACTAATACACTAAATCAGTTGTGATAAAACACAATAGTCATTTTGATATTGCTTCTGCTGTAATTGGAAAACATTTTATTTACAAATTAATTGAAGGGACACATAATATTGTCATAACTGAGTGAGAAATATTTTCAGTCAAAATATGGGAAAAGTATTACAGGTTTGCAGGGGACAGAAAATGTAAAACCTTTATATAGCCACACCACAAGTCTAATACTATATCCAAATGTGAACAACATCTAAGATTCACAACTTTTCTGGAAAGCAAAGAAGAAAGAAGGAAGAAGGAACAGAGGAAGGAAGGAAGGGAAAAAGAGAAATGAAGAAATTTCCTTATTCAATTATGCCTGTTTCGTGAATTTGATTTTCCTTGCTCTGTCTCATCCCTGGTCTGAAATCTCACCATTAGAATTATCAGCTCTTGAGAAATAGAAGGGATATAGTGGTTTTAGAAGTGACTGCTAACACAAATAACCATACACACGCAGTGCAGAAACTCATTTATCTCACCAAAAGAAGGCTGGTTTCTTCTCCAGACATTGCCCATTTTCTTAGCCTACTTTAATTCTTTATGGGTACCTTGAAGGGTGAAAAAAACCCTGAATTTCCAAGGCAATTAACTGTCAATGCCTTGATATTGTGAGATTCATCGCTGGATCCCCTGCTGGGAACTGCTTGCACGTTGCCATCACAGGGTGTAGGTGCTTGTTGATTGAGTGAATGAAAGGAAGGATGAGAGAAGCAGAGTTCAGGTCCACTATGTAGCTGGAAAATTGCATTCTGAATCTTTAGGGAGCCAGGAAGAAGTGTGGAAAAAAAAAAGTGTAAGCATGGAAGAAAAAGAGTAGAGGTGAGGAGGAGGAGGAGAGCCACCACTGCTGCCAACTGTGGAGTTGGAATTGAGTTTATCCACATGGGCTATCCTAGGTACTTGAGAGTTTCAGGGCAGAAACGGTGATGAGATAGGGAACTGCAGATATATATGTAGCAGAAAATTTCACATTGATGTATGGGTATTTAGCTCCATGATTCTCAACTTTCAACCTTGACTACACATTAGAATCTCTTGAGTAGAACCTGGACATCAGGAATTTTAAGTTTCCCTAGTGATTCTGATTTCCACAAGTTGGGATTCACAGGTCCATTTTTCTATGATAGCACTGTTTGTCTTCACAGGTTTAAGGACAATACTATCCCTAGAGAAGAAACTGTAGATCAATAGTTCCCAAACATGATTAAGTATTAGAATTACCTGGGAAGTTATTAAAAATTCCAGCATCCGTGCCACACCCCATACCAACTAAATTACAGTGGGAGTGTGTGAGCCAGGAATGGGTATTTCTTAATGATCTCTGATTATACCAATGTACAGCAAAGTTTGGAGACTAATGACCCATTCTAGATGGTTAAAGAACTGGGAGGATATTCATTGTTTTAATACTTACAATCAGGTAACTATAAAATTTGCAATTTTATGTGAGAAAAAAATGTACTTGTTACTGATATCTGAGGACCTCATTATTTTTCTCTGAACAAGGAACTGTAAACAGAGATTTCTGAATGTATAGAATAAATTTGGCATGCATACTTTTTCCAAAAGACCTCCATACTAGAAGGTCAACTTTTCACGATATTATTTTTACCATAAGTACACGCTTTGGGAGAAAATGTTTGAAAAATAAGAAAGAGTACATGAAATATATATAATGTTTTACAGTAGTTTATATAACTTCAGTTATTACAGAAGATCATTGTTTGCTTTGAGTTAACCCAGAATTTGCTCAATTGACAATAATTGATAATAGTAATACAGATTCAAGATAAGGAATCAGAATTTTAATTTGCATTTTCCATTGCACTTTTTATGTAAAAATTGACTGTCTTGTGAGCTCTCAAAAATATGCACAAGTAATCATTCTTGCCAGGCTCATAAAGAGATGTTGTTAGGATTAATTACTTAATGATGATTAAACGAGGTAGGTTAGTACTCAGAGTTGTTTTTCTCCTTAGAAGAATTAGCAGAAGTCTTTTGCTTGAGGCAATTACTGAATTACCTTGTTTTTCTGAAGTGAGAACTTCCATTCTGTTTTAATTGTTTCTGACTCCCTTCAATGGTTCAGGAAAAAAAAGGGAGGGAAAAAAAAAAAAAAAAAGAACAACTTACCAAAGAAGTCTGTGGAGAATAAACTATAAAAACATATTTAACAACGTTAAGCATTCTAAAATCCTTGAAATGAATATTCCAAGTGAATGATCTATCTATCTACCTATCTATATATCTATCACTCATCTATTTATCATCTACCTACGATAGCCACTCCCAGTTTTAGTCAAAGGGAGGGATAAAAATCAGTAATGTTACTAGTATAGCTAATACAATGTGGACTATAAACTCAAAGTCATTGCTTTGACCAAGTTAGCCTTAATGTTACTCTCAGCTTGACTAAAGTTTAGACAAATTTCTTCCTGGCTGCAGGCCTCTAACCTCTTGTTTCCTAGAGAATTTATTTCAAAAATCTTGCAACTGTAAATTACTTCTCTGCCCCCTTTGAAATGTAAATAAATCTTCAGTCTCTTGCCAGTTTTACTACCCAGAAAATGTCTTTCTCACAGACCTGGGAACCATCATTTTAAAACTAAACATTAAAAGAGATGGTGCTTCTGTCTTTCAGTCTCTATGGGAAGGGAGGAGCTGAACTTCTTTGGGAACCAATTACCAGATGGCCTAATCCCAGAAGGAAACACTGCAAACTCAAGAATAACTCTATGTGCTGAATACATCCCATTGGTCAGCCCTCCCTGAACATCCTCCAGTACTTTTCCACTAGCTCACCTCAGCACTTAACAACCCTCACATCTTCTGTTTCAGGGAGTTGGGTTCAGTCTCTCCCCTACTGCAGTAGCCTTGAACAAAGTCTTTCTTGACAGTTGAACACTGTCCAGTGCAGTTTTCACTTTAACAGCCTAAACCAAAATCCAACACTTAAAATGTCTAGGGCATACTCACATTTCTACCAACTTTCTACTACTATATCAGGAAAATACAAATATTTTCTTGCAGCAAACATCCTTCAAAAGAGTGTTTCTCTTACCTAGTGAAGAGGGCAGCAGAACTAGAATTTATGAAGCGCTGACTACCTATTTTTTAGTAATTTTTTTCTAATATTTTTTAGACCTTAGATGATAATTTGAATTTTGGTGTTAACTTCAAGTTTTTGACATTTTTCATTTTTAACATTTCTTAATGTTCTATTGTACTTTTTCTTCCCTTCTACATTAAATTTAATTTTCCATGGGCATAATGTTTTCCTGATAGAAGAGCTGTGAACAAATGGATTCTCTCATTCTCATGTAGGATTTTTTTTCTTTTTTCTCTCTTTTCTCCTTTCCTCTTTCCTTTTCTTTTTCACTCATGCAAAGGAATAACTAGAGATTCATGTGCTGTGGTCTAGGAGTTACTGGTGATATAAAGCATTTGATACAAATTTTCATTATACTCTTAGGCCTATGGGAACAAAAAATAACATTTTCCCAGGGGGATAAAAAGTGTATTATGAAGCTAATAAGTTAAACTTTAGGAATCCTCCTTGCAAGGACCCCCTTGAATGCACAGTACGCAACTGTATTTTATTTTTCTTAAAGATGATTTCCAGAAAGAGAGGAGTTTCAGGAGGCACAAAATTTGGTTTAGCTGTTGTTTTTCACCACATCAATGGAAATGAGTCTCTTTGTCTATCGCTGCAGGCACAAAATAACATTTTTAATCCAAGAGGATTCTTCCTCTCCCACTGCCTGTAAAGACATTCCCCTGGTTTTCTTTAGTTGGAATGTGCTATCATTGTTTTACAACATTGTAATATGCTAATTTTGAAGTTACTATCTTTGTGCAAGGTAATAAGTGAGTGAAAAACTCAAATGCTAACATCTGCTGTGGCATTTCAATTTTAAACCAAATGTGTGTATAATATTCTCTTTGGTAAGTGAATTAACATTTTCACATAACCATGAAAGATAAAATTTTAATAATCTCCCTTGGAGTTGGCTCTTTGAAGTCATGTGCAAAATATGAAGTGAGAAGGCTAACAGAATGCTATTCCTTCTTTCTTCTAAGGTTTCTGAAGTTTTCAAAGACAGAGAGTGAGCAACGTTCTTACGCTCAGTTCACCTGGAGTTACAGCCAGTTAGAGAGGCAGCAATTTACTTAGACTAGATGGAAGGCTACAAAGGAGTGCCTTAAATTCTGGAGCACCTAAAGTTCTTGGTCATTTGTTGGCACTGCTGTCTGGAATTCTAACTTTTCACATGCATTTTTCAATGCCTGAAAAACATTCCAATTTTTCCTAAGATGTCTTTCAATCATCTTTTCAACTTCCTTTTGACTGTCACTATCCCTTGTAAGAACAATAATTTGAACTATTATATGCTCATGCCTTAATGAAAAGTGTTTGATTTATCACATTATATCATCACTCGAAGGCATGTCAATTTCAGTAAAGTGAGTCTGGCTTGGATCTCATCTAAAGAAATTCAGTAGTGGAATGTTTTGGGACATTGTTTCAATTAAGTTCAGGCAGAAGGAACATATGAGAAGCCCTGGGGAAATCTCACTTACTGTGTTTAGAAACAAGTAGGAGGCCTAAGCTGCTGGAGGAGATTGGGGAGTGGTAGGGGATGAGGTCAGGAAGTGAGGAGAGGGGCAGATCGGAAGCCATTACAGGGCTTTGAAAGATGAGTTACATAATCATACTCACATTTTATTTCAAAAGCAGCACCCTGGTCCTTTGGAGGCTAGACTATAAGAAGGCAAGAGTGGGCATAGAGGAAGTTGTTTACTCCTGGCAAGAGAGAAGAATGCCTTGAGATAGATATTAGCTGTAGAGAAGTAAGAGGTATCATGTTTATTACATTTCTAAGCAATAGCCAACAGGATTTTCCAAAAAACAAACCTTGAATACAAGATTTTCTGTCTAAATAGCTGGCTGAATGGATTTATCATATCTTGAGACAAGGGAAGTTGTAGGTTCAGCAGGTCTAAATAGAAATAAGGCTTTGGTTCAGTGCATGTTAGCTTTCAGATGCACATTAGGTATCTAAGGAAGAAACAAGGAGAACACTGTTAAGTGAAAGTAGAGTTGAGGGGAGAGGTCTAGATCAGTGTTGGGGATTAGGTTGTCTCCAGCATGAAGATGGTACATGAAGCTACAGGACTGAAGATTACCTAGAGACTGAGTGTGAATCTGGACTGAGTAGAGCCAGCAGTCTAGCACTGAGACTTAAATTAGATGTTTAAGTCTCTGTGAAACTATAGTGCTTTTTGCCAGATCTTTGTAAAACAACCTCCCTTATTCTCAAGTTTCTAATCGTGACTCATCTCCCATCCATCTATAATTCAACAGAATTTTTTCTTCAGGAGAAGTAAACTAAGCCTTTTTATAGCTGAGAAAATCTTTTGATTGTCTTCACAAATAAGTGACAATTTGATTGAATCTATAATATCACCATATCAATATGTTTTCCTCAACTCCATAGTATTCTCTACAGACTGAAAGTCTAAGAGTAACAAGATTTTTGTTTCCATGCATACAATCTATCTGGATGCTTGCAAGATTTACACGTACATGCATACATACATATAACTCACAGATTAAATAGTGCTACCCCCAAAGACATCCGCTTCCTAATCTCTGGAACTTGTAAATGTTGTCTTATAATGCATGAAATAATGTTGCAGAAGTGATTAAGTTGAAGATCTTCAGAGAGGCAGATATTACTGGATTATCCACAAGAGCAACAGATGCAATCACAAGAATCCTTGTAAGAGAGAGGCAGAGGGAGATTTGACAAGGAAGAGAAGGCAATGTGACTGGAGACAGTTTGGAGAGATGTGGCCACAAGCCAAGGAATGCCAGCAGCCACCTGAAGTAGAAGAGACAAAGAATAAATTCTTCCCTGGAGTCTATGGAGGGAAGATGGCCCTGCTGACACCTTGGTTTTGATGCATTGAAATGGATTTCAAATTTCTAACGTCCAGAATTGTGAATGAATCAATTTTCATTGTTTAAGCCATCAAGTTTGTGTTAATGTATTATAGCAGCCATAAGAAACTACTACATCTCTGTACATATATATATATTATTTTACCAAGTTATATCTAAATATTATTTATCTAACATAATTTTTCCTAGGTTTTCAGAGGTATTTTCAATCTTCCAGTTAGTATATATCATCATTTGGTGAAAGTGCTCACGTGTATATATTTTTGTTATTTGTGCTCTGTCTACTTTTTTCTCACCTCCTGTAGTCCTATTACACATGAGTCAGATTACCTGAATCTGTCCCACTGTAGCCTCACTTTAATTTTTTTTTATTCCTTTCCTCAGAAATACTCTAATTTGAGAAAATTTCCTTCTAGTGTTTGCTTCTCCTCCCAGATTTGTTTTCTATATCTAATTTTATTACCACCATTATTTTCACTAAGTTTTATATTTTTTTGCATCTCATATAGTTTTACTTACTTTGACTTATTTTCTCTTCATAATTCATTGTTACAACTTCATAAGTAAAAAAATTCATTTAATCTTTTAAAAATAAATTTATACATATTCATAAATATTCTAAAATTTTCTCTTATTTCTGTACTAGCAGAGTTTTAAAAAGCAAGTTATCTTTAGATATAGACATTCCTTTCAGATGAGTCATTTTCCTGTAAATCTAACACAGTATTATGTAATATAAATGTTGAAATAAATTTTGGCAGTTATAAATAAGTGGGGATTCCTGATTTAATCCTTCAGGCACCGGCACAGGAAGAGGAGACAGATTATATTTCATATAACTTGGGACTTAATCAGTGGGGAAATCCAATATCTGTTAGGTTTTAAGAGGAAATTCTAGTGGAGGACTCTGCTACAGAAAGGATGCTTATCTGGGTTCCACTACAAGATGCTGCAGTAGACAGAAAACTGCCTGAGCAATGTTCTCTTTCAGTTTATTCTTCATTTTTCTTGTTGGTTTTATTTCATGTTATTTCAGCCTTGCATGGCTATGGATGCACCAGGATTCATTGTCAGAGGTCTGTTTGCTCTGTGTCTGGCTCAGTTTCCAGCACAGAAATATGATTAGTTAAAATGGTAGAGGTCAAATGCTGCTGACCTGCCCTTTTAAAGATTTTTTTTATTCTAAAAAGGTAAAGGGGTATAGGTTGCAATTACATGTGACATCAGTGCAGAAATTTCTGTGCTGGAAATAGAAGGAAAAAAGCACATCCTCAAAACCTTAAGGTAAATCAGGGTGTCAGAAATCTTTCATCAGAAACTCAGAGATGTACCACCCAAGAATAAGTAACTCAGCTGTTGTGATATCGACTGGTGATTACAATATTGGTACAATATTGGTATTAATTCTTCTATAGAAAAGACAAATGAAAGTGCATGTCAACACCATCTAATAGTCATAAGAACTAGAAAACTATTTTTCCTGAATCACAGTGCTCCAGTTTTCAGTCTGAGAAGCACTTCCACCAATAATTTAATTTCATTATAATAGATTCTATAACTCTCAGACTTACTTTATATAATCTGCTTATATACTCATCAGTATTTAAAGCCTCCTTTTATTTTTACTGAGTTTTTTTTTTTTCAATTAAGTGTCAAGAGGCATAACACTGCTAAACCCAAGTTAGAATAAATCAACTCATTGCTTGGGCATAGTAAATTCACCCAATTTTGCCTCTTCTTTTCATTGTTTTAAAATAGCACGGGTTGATGAAGATCAAGATGAACAAGTAAAGACCACTAAGCTAAGAGATTTTAAGTGACATAATTAAATATCAAAATGTATTTTAAACATAAATAATACTTTATTTCAATAATAAACTAAGGAAATAATGGCCAAATTCAATAAAGTCTTAAGAAAAATTTTTGCCTTACAAAAAATTTCTGCAAATTTTTGGTCCCAGGACTCAACTCTTTGAAATTAAGATACCAGCACAGGATTTACAGGAAAATGCAAGAATAACAAGAAAAAAAAAATCAGGAAAATAAAAGATGGGCAAAAAATACTCACTAGGAAAAAAATAATTTCATGGACCAGATAAAAATTGTGACCAAACATATTGGCATTAAAATTTAAAAATATTAAAAATAAAACAAAGAATTACATAAACAATATTAAAAGTAAAGATAAAAGAATTCAGGAAAGATGTGGTAGCTAACGGAGACAACACATGAGTTTGTAAAGTACAGGAAAGAAGCAGAAGGAAAATATACCTCAGATATAAAGCCCATATTAGGAGCAACATAGAAAAGAAAATCATAGCTGAAAACAGTGGAAATATGACAGGGCTGAAAAGTAAACAAAATAAATTAAAAATTAAAAAAGAGTAAACTAAGACAAAGATGAATTGGGAAGACTGAAAAAGGAGATCCAGTACAATCAGCTTGCTAAGTATGAAAACTGAAGTAGGAGGACAAAAAGAATTGATGGTGTAATTTGGCAAAAAATATGTTAGATCAATGTTTTTTGCCTATAAACTGAAAAAGGGCACTGTTTCTCGGGGGAAAGGTGTTCAAGTGGTGCACATACCCTAGGACTTCTACAAAACTTTAAAAATATTCTTTATTAGAAAGATTGGGAAACTACATAAACGTCCACTAATAAGAAACTGTTACAGCTAACTTGGTTCATTCAAAAGATGGAATTCCATACAGCAGTCAGATGAAGGAACTCCTTATGTGCTGATGTGGAAAAATCTCTAAGGAATCAATATACATAATATTATAGATGTATTAGGATTTTTATTTAAAATCAATGTTTGGTACATACGCTTGAATGTACATAATCTACGTTACCTCTGGAAAAACATTTAAAAATATGAGAGTAAATGCCTCCCGGGAGAGAATGAGATGGCTGACAGAAATGTCAGCCTGAGAATTATTTTTCATGTTGTCTTTGAGTGCCTTTTCCACTTTGTAGCATGTGCATATGTTGCCTTTTCAAAACAAATAACCACATATAATTTTTAAAAGGCAGCCAAACCTATTTAATTAATCTCAGGGGGAAAAAAATACAGCAACAAAAATAACAATGGAATACCTACACTGTTGCTTTTGACAAGCTTTGTTCTGCAATATAATGGATGACGCTACATAATTCCATTCGACATGTTAATATTTTCAACTGCTTGGAGCAGCATTTTGCTGCTGACTAACGGTGGAGGACCCATGAAAGCAGTGCTATTCAAAATTTGGCAAGAGAGTTACTGAAGTTCTTCAGTGTCGGTGGATAACTGATAACACCTGTCCTTAACAGTTCTAAGCCAAAATGGCTCTTCCATGCTCTGTGGTGCAGAACTCTGGGATCTCAACCAAGGCATAGATTCTTTTACAGGAAAAAAAAAAATAGCCCATAGGACTCCTGAAATGAAAGAAACAA